TCGGTACTGATGGATGGCCATACGGCTGGCCCCGTGGCGGTTTCCCCGGTGCCCAGGGTCCCTACTACTGCGGTGTCGGTACCGGCAAGGTCTACTGCCGTGATATCGTCGAGGCTCACTACCGTGCCTGCTTGTACGCTGGTATCAACATCTCCGGTATCAACGCTGAGGTCATGCCCTCCCAGTGGGAGTACCAGGTCGGCCCCTGCCCCGGTATCGATAGTAAGTTTGCTAAATCTCTTGACAATGAAATATCTTTGAGACTAACTGTTTTTTTTCAGTGGGTGATCACCTCTGGATGTCCCGTTTCCTTCTCCACCGTGTCGCTGAGGAGTTCGGTGTCCGTATCTCCTTCGAGCCCAAGCCCATCAAGGGTGAGTGGAACGGTGCCGGTCTTCACTCCAACGTTTCCACCAAGGCCACTCGTGCCGAGGGTGGTATGAAGGTTATCGAGGCCGCCATGAAGAAGTTCGAGGCCCGCCACGTTGAGCACATCGCCGTCTACGGTGAGGGTAACGAGGAGCGTCTCACCGGTCGCCACGAGACCGGTAGCATCGATAAGTTCTCTTACGGTGTTGCCGACCGTGGTGGCTCCATCCGTATCCCCCGCCAGTGCGCTAAGGACGGCAAGGGTTACTTCGAGGATCGTCGCCCCGCCTCGAACGCTGATCCTTACCAGATCACTGGTATCATTGTTGAGACTATGTGTGGTGGTCTCTAAATGCATAGGAATCATTTGGTCTTAGCGCTCCGATACCCTCGGCGTCAACCTGGGAGTCGGACCAGAGCGGCCTGACTGCGTGAGGGAGCCCCCATAGATGTTCCGCGATCTGTCTTTTTCTCTCTTCCTCTTCCTGTCTTTCTTCTCCTGTTCTATCCTTTTTCTTTCTCCCGGTTCCAGTGTCCGCTTATTGCGTCACTGCTGGCCCTCCCTCGTTGTACCAGCCGCACCTAGTTTTTTTTTCTGTTTCTCTCGACTGCCCTTCACAGGGTAATGTGACACGTACTATAGCATAGAATATTCAAGGATGGGAAAACCACACCATCGTTTATCGAGAGATATCATACTGATATCATTCCTCTGGAGAATCGACAATTAATACCAAGTTCAACATTTGCACTGACCCTCACCTTTTGGAGTAATTTTCGTGTCTGAGTCAATACCAGCACTGCTTGGCAATTGAGCTCTTTGTACTTTTTGCACGTTTAATCCCATTGGTCTTAGCTAGATCGGGTCCATGGGTGTGTCTCGCCAGATCGTCTTCGTGCCACATGGAAGGATCTTGAACTCAATCTAGTATCACATTCTAGTATCCAATGGAAGTCTTCCCTTTGATAGAGGCTGGAGTGTATGACAATCTCATATACCCGAACAAGACCAACCTCCACGAAGCATGGATCTAGGATACGTCAGTTCATTATTCATTTGATTAGTTTTGCCTTACGAAGCAGAGTATTCTCCAAAAGTCATCTATGTCCAAGATTAGATCGTATTCATTCTCTTCTATACTTCTATCTTTCTACTGAAGTCCCACACATCAACACAAGCAGCAAAATTAGAACTTTTACCGTTCCACCACGGCCACACCCCTCACACATAGACACACACAAGTCTACCTATCAATCACCTTCCCAGCTTCAACCAACGCGTAACACCAGCCCCAAGGCCATGCAAACCACGCTGGCGCACCTCCCGCCTCGCAGCCCCATCAACTGCGCCATCAGCATCATCATCACGATACCTCCCATCAACAAATCGCAACATGACCTCCATAAACGCCGCGGAAAGGATACTCGCCGCGAGAATACCAATCATGACAAGGTTACTCTTTCTATACTTCTCCCGACCAGGCGCCTCGTAGTCACTCTTCCACCCAGAATACAACGCATACGTCGTAAGGATACTGCCCAGATTACCAAGACCAGAGACAACAGCCGACGCAGCAGCTACGCCGACCTCGCCATGTCGAGGCTGGAAGATCTCCGTCGTCCAGGTCATCGTAATCGGGACCGTGGGACCGAGTCCGAATCCAACGATTAACAGTCCGCCATATCGTGGCCAGGGGTTTGCGTCTGTGCCCGCGTAGCTTGTTAGGAGGAGGCCGAGGATTTGTAGGAGGACGGGGATTGAGAAGAAGATTGCACGGTGGCGGTGGAAGCGGTCTGAGAGCGGGGTTACGAGGAGGATGGCGATTAGGTCCATCTGTAGGAGAGGGGAAGGAGATGTTAGCGAATGAATGAATGAATGAATGAATGAAAAGAGATCCCAAAACAAAGAAGAAAGATGGGAATGGAGGGAGAAAAAAGAAAACTTACAATCCAAATAGGAGCCGTCAACAGACTCAAGGAAATATCACTCAAAGTCGGGTCAATAGCCTTGATAATCACGTTCGCATACAACTGTACACCGATACCAACACCCACAACACCAAAGTACATAACCAGCAGCGGGTAAAGTCTCCAATCCAAGAACACCGCGAGCAGATCCCGCATCGTCCATGCGGACGAGTGATACACACGCTTCAGATCATGGTAATGCACGACGGCATCGTCGCCTTTCAGCGCGGGTGCGGTGGTAGGTAGCCAGCGCATCATCAAAGAGCGTTTCGGGGCGGGTTCGCCCGGTGGTGTGGGTCTGTCTGGTAACCACCATAGCAGGGTGAAGCCCAGGGCGATGGTGATGACGCCGTAGATGAGGAACATCCATTGGAAGCCGACGAGGCCTTGGGCGCCGTCCATTTTTTGGAAGCCCGCGGAGACGAGGCCTACGACTGCGGCGGAGACTTGGGAGGCTGTGAAGTATTGCCCAATTCGTTTGCCGATACGTGACGGCGGGTAGAATAGGGTTAGGTAGTATGTCATGCCGGGCCACATGCCTGCTGTGACGATACCGAGGAGGAGGCGGAGGAGGCTGGGGGGGTTGTTAGATATTGGATATGGGACAGAGAATGAGGAGTTTTGGGGGGGGGTTTGAACGTACTAGAAGCTCCATGCTGCTTTCATTGCGGCGAGACAGCTTCCGATTAGGCCTACGCTGATCACGATGCGGCTCATCCAGACGTGGGGGCTTAGACGGGTCATGATTAAGTTTGAGGGGAGATCGAAGATCACGTAGCAGACGTAGAAGAGGGCAAGACCGGTTGAGATCTGGTGTCGGGATAGGTTGAGCACACTTGCGAGATCGTGGCCGGAGTCTGCGTTCATTGTCTGTGCCAGGCCGACGTTTGAGCGGATGGCTGAACAGAGGAAGTAGAGGACCCAGAATGCGGAGATGATGCGACGGTCCAGTTTTCTGGTGGATGTTAGATTTAGAGATTGAATTGGTTCTCGGAGATGTGATTCACCTGTAGATCCGTTCGATGTTGGCAACGCTGTGGTCCAAGGACTCGCTGTCGTCCGAGGACGTCTGGCTTTGAGCTACTTCTGGCTGCTCAGAGATATCCTCAACGGCAGGTTGTTTGTCAATGCCGACAGAGGCATGTTGATGTTCGGTGGACATTTTGTCACTTTATTATGATTATAAGTGTATAAACTTTTTATTTGGCCTCTTTGCGGGCAAACAGTCAATTGACTGTACCAAAGCGCGGGCTAAAAGCAGTGCTAATTGAGTTCTGTGAATTATAAGTTAGTGGAATTCATTTCGTATATTCCAGTTTCGTTCGGAAGAGAATAACCCTTTGCCGAGGTCAAAGAGAGGTACACATACCTCGATGTGAATCTCCGAAAGAAAAAAGAAGATTCCGTTTTCGGATCTGATAAAGAGAGGGGTGTGGATCTTGGCGGAGAAAAACACTGACCCCAATATATAAGGAAGGCTTATCCGATATATAAGGAAAGGCCTATAGTCTGCACGGAATCGCGTGACTCATAAGCTCAAATATCCGAGAATTAATTAGAATCCCCGTTGAGGTTGGGATTAAGATTGACCTCGGGAGGGTTGGGGTTGAGGGAAAATCTTTCGGTGTTTTGGCCCCAGCTCTTCACCGAGGATAACCTTAAATCTTTTTCCCCCCGAGGCTATCCTTACCTCCTATGGATCTTGGTCCGTTCTACATGTTGTGTTGGAATTGGTATATTTCTACTTTGCATCTGGTCTCTTATAAAGCTATCAGCTGTTAGCTATCGCTTGCTAGCTATCACCTGCGAGCTACTAGGATGCTATAGACATACGATTAGCCCATATCTAACAGTCAAAATAGGATGCCAAGCAATGACTCAGAACTACTTTCGGAATCCGTGCATTTGTTAAATCCAAGTTAAGTTGTCTCTTTTATGTGTTATCATTATCATCATCATCTCGATCGCCGGTCTCGGGGATATCACGTGGTCTGTCACATATCCGAATCGGGTCATATTAGGGCTCGGGTATAGGTCGAAAGGTGAAAGCTCGAGCTATTCAAAATAAAATGAAATTTTTAAAATGGAAGGTCGATATGCGCGAGGGATAGAGTCGGGTTTTGTCTATAATTATGGTTCTCAATGTGTTATATCAGAAGACTCTGTGTAGTGTCTACAGAACTTGATGCTTGGGGATAAGAGTGGCATATCTAGTATTCTAAAGCAGAAGATAGAAGGCAAGAAACTAAAAGAAAGATATATATATGTTGTTTATTCACCCATGAATCGCCAGTTGAGTAGCTCCCAGGTTAGATACTGGCATTGTTTTGTTTTCTTCACGTCACAATTTCACCTACTATTACCTCTCGTCTTCCATGTGAAAGCTAATCTGTGCTCTCCTACAACATGCCTTAGAGTCTGGACCTCAGAGGCCTGTCAGTTTCCCAAACTTTTATCTTCTTTGCCAAGAATCTCACGTCCACTGCATTGTCACGTCCATCCACAATCACCTCGCTGCGTGTCAGCCTGTTCTCTTTCAACAATTCTTGTCTCTCCAATATCTAAATTTAAAGTCGTATCAGCCCTCATTACTCCTCAATAGATAACATCTATGAGCTTGTCTTGACGCACTTCCCACCACCCACATCCTTTATTCACTTGCAATGTCTTTAAACGTTGGGGAAACCAGGACCGACTCCCCACCCAAGAAGCGTTTCTCCGTCCGCCTTATTCGTGGCAACTGGTGTCAAAGAATCAAAAGGCTCAAAAAGATCTTGGCCGATCTCCGAGCTGACATGCGTTTCAGCCTTTCACCCGCCCGCCCTGATAGCGGCACCCATGAAGAGGTCCTGATTCAGCATGCCAACAAGTCAGAAGATACCAATCAGCCAGAGAATATCACCAAGCCAGAGGATGCCACCAAGCTAGAGGAAGACAATGAGCCCCACGAAGCTCCGGCAGCAGGTTTCACCGAGCAAGCTCCAAAGAAAGAAGACGAGTATACCCCAGCCAAACACCCTAACTGGCATCCTAGTCAAGTCAGGAGTGGAAGTAGAATCACCACAGCCGGCAAAAAGTATTACAAGTATTTGAGGGTTCCCCCAAATTCCCCGGATAGAGGCGGAGTCGACACGAGTCTCAAGTACCAGAAAAGAGTTGATGCTATCCGCGATGAAAGCCTCAAGCGTCCGTTCATTGGCCAAAAGACCAACGAAACTTGGAACGATAAGCGTGGCGATCTACTTCTCGACCGAAAGAATTACAATCTTATAATGATGGAGCGAATGCAAAACGAGTTCGTGATGCGTCTATATCGCTGCAGGACAATGAGGCCTAAAAATTGTGACCAGGCTACGTCGCTTACTGAGTACTTTGACTTGCAAATGCATCTCCGTGGCAGGCGTAATGCGCCAAGACGAAGCCGTTCAGGCAGTGGAACCGAGGGAGGCTCCAGCTAAGAGAGTGGCTTCCCGGAAGGCAAAGGAGATTGCCAAGGAACATTGTATCGTGCAGGGAAAGGATACCATCGAAGACAAGCAGGATCTACCCACCAAGGCAGATCTGGAAGTTTGAGTGCTAGGGTGATCTAGACATAAATTGCTTTGCTACAGAGGTTCATCGTTTACTTTAATGCAACTTTATTTCTATGTTCCATGCCTAGCGATGCATCCAATGTCGAAAATAATATAAATTATATAAATTATAAAAAGAAAAGGTGACAAGGGAGTGTCCAAACACATTCAAACTATACAAACATGTGTGCTCAATGGCAGCCAAGATACTGTTAATATAACACAAATAAATATACATAAAAGGATATAAAAGGAGAGGGTCTTGTCTCTTTTCGAAAAACATATGCTCCTCTTCACAACGTCGACCCCCTCCAATGATAGAGGTTGAACTCTACGAGAGTGCAAAACCGAGCAAATTTCAATTTGGTCTAACAGGATGGGCAGCAGTGATTCATCTCGACAAAGAAACACCAGGAGAGCATCCGAGTCTAACCAAGTGGAGTTGAACGCTATCACGAGGATCGCTAAGCCCTAAAGCCAAGAACACTTCAGACCCTTCAGACCCTTCACACCAAGGCTGTCAACAAGAAATTAGCCTAGCACCAAGCCTAAATGGCTAGCGCAGTTCCAAAACTCCTCTTCTTGGTCCCATATAGCGAGAAACTCGTAAATTAATCACAAAAAAGCGGCTCGAGTCCGGCGCCAAGCGGCACTATCTCGTATTTACGAGGAAACATGACCCCCAAATTCCCGCGAATACGAACAATAACCTTAAACAACCTCGCTAGAGGCATTATTTACCTTCTACCAGCCGCGTGAATGTAGGAAGTGTCCAGGGGACAACAGCGACATAAAATCGTAGTTCCGCCCCCAATTCCGACGATATTTTCCAAAGCAGGGCACAAGCTATCAAACATCTATACTTCCATCCCTTCTCCAAAATGCTCTCCCGAATCCAAATTCCCTCTTTTACAACCCTAGCCCTATCCCTCCTCCTCACCAACCTAGCGACAAGCACAACAATCCCCAAAAACGAACCCCAACTCCTCTCAAACGTCACCCTCAATACAGACGATGGATTCTCCCTCTTCACCGAGAACCCAGGTCTAAACGCCCGCGCGTTAGAATGCAGAATCGGATACAGCGAATGCGCCTACGATACCAGCCGCTGTTGTCCATCCAGCGGGAAATGCTGCGGGAACGGGTACTGTGCCAATATAGGCGAGACATGCTGCGCAGGCGGTGGTACATGTTCGATTGGATATAAGTGCTGTACCGGGGGATGCGCGCCGCTAGGCGGGGAGTGCTGTTCAGATGGTTACTATTGTCGGGCGGGGAAGAAGTGTCGCATCTACGATGGGGAGAAGGTTTGTTGCCCGTTGAGCGGTTGTATTGGGGAATACGATGGCATTGGATCTGGGGGTACGCTTACGGTTCCGGATGTTACGTCTACGGCGACGGAGACGGAGATTGAGACGACTCGGGCGACGACGACCTATGTTGAGGTTGATTGGGATTATTATTATACTACTGTCTACTGGTATGTTACATCTTTGTGGGGATTGGGTTGGTTTGGTATGACTGGATGGGGTTTGCTGATTCTTTTTTTATAGGACTTATTGGTTCTATTACTGGACTTCTTATGCACCCTATACTGTTCAGACGGTTACATCTACAATCACCAGTACTCGTACTATATGGTCTGTTTATGCGACAAACAGAGCGGAGGCGACGTCGTCGCTTAGTAGGAGTTCGGCTCGTTACTCGTTCTCGACTCCTTACGAGGCGACTTCTCTTAAAAGCTCGACAGCACCTGTTGCCTTGCCGACCGGTGCTGCTGCTCCGTCTGCCACTGTGTCTGATTCGACAGATGATACTGTTTCAGCTGGTCCGGTTATTGGGGTAAGTTCTGCCGAGAGTGTGAGCGTTAGTGGGACTGGCATCCTGGCTGCTGTCTTGGCTGCTGCTGTTGGTGGATTGGCCTTTGGGCTGTGATCAGCTAGGGGAGGTTGTGGTTTGCGATGATTTGAGGTTGAATGGAGTCGCTAACGACTGGATTTTGTCGCTGATACCTTCTGACACACATGATTTTTCTATAATGACTGTATGCCCTAATTTATGAAATATCCATCTAGTATTCGAGATCTATACTGAATCGTAAATCGTTGATTGACATAGCAAATTATTTGGTTAAAATACAATATGAATCTGCTCTCTCAAGGGGTTTGACTGCTGTTAGACGAGCTATCCTTGCGGTGCTCAACATGGGTACCCTTTCCAGTCTCCATATCGTTCATCTCATTAGCCAGCTTGATCTTCTTCTCTGAAACATAGCTAGCGCGGCGCAGGTGCTCCTCAGTCTCCTCGTAGTTGATAAGAAGCTCTCCCTTCTTGCCGTAGCGGTGGGGCTCGTTGCGGGCGACCGAGACGGCATTGAAGATGCTGGATGTCTTGTGGAAGATCGTGTCCATCTCCTCCAGAGACCGATAGGCAGTTTCGGGGTAGAAGAAGTAGACAACGGGGAAGATGAATGCATTGCTATTTGGAAGTGAGTCAGTCGTGCACAAAACACATTTCGCCCAGAGTATGCTTACATGACAGCAAAGATAATATATGTCTTGTATTTGATTGTGTCGAACGCAACAGGCGTGACCATGACAACCATAAAGTTGAAGATCCAGTTGCCCGAAGTGGCGAGTGCGTTTGCAGGAGCACGGATTCGAAGGGGAACCTATCGCATTGTTAGTGGGTGCTTTGGCGAAAAAGAGTAAAATATATGAAAGCCTTACAATCTCAGCGGGATAGAGCCAGGTCATTCCCAACCAGCCAAGGGCAAAGAATGTGTTGAAGACAAACAAGAACACAGCAGCGGCAATACCAGGCTTTGTCTCGCCCTCAAAGCTAGTAGTGATGGCCAAAACAGCCATTGAAATCGACATACCAGCGGCACCAACCAACATCAGAACTCGTCGGCCCACCTTCTCGATAATGAAGATGGGAACCAAAGATGCCAAGAAATATTCAGTCCCGTTGCACGCCGCTAGGATGCGCGAGGTCAGGCCATCCATACCAAGAGAGTTCTCATAAATGAAGGCAGCGTAGTAGGTAATCAGGTTGATACCAGAAATCTGCTGGAACATCTGGTTGACGTAGGCGAGTACCACACGGTGGAAGTGGCGGTTTTCATCCATAGTGAGCAAGTCACGGAAGCTGACACTAGAGGCAGCCAAGACTGCGTCTTTGATAGCGGAAAATTCCGAGTGGACGTAGGGATCGTTCTCATCCAAATCTAGGATCGCGGCAAGAACATCCAATGCTTCCTGTTCGCGGCCCTTGAGGATCAACCAGCGAGGTGATTCGGGCAGCGGCAGCACGAATATTAAGATGATCAGTGCGAAGACGTTTTGGAAGGCAATTGGGAAACGCCACGCAACGGAGCTAGGATCGAGGAAGGAAAATCCAAGATCGAGCCAGTAACTGATCGTAATTCCAGCAGCAATCAAGGAACCCTCAAACATGACTAGCTTTCCACGGTGGTGGGATTTGGAGCATTCTAAGTAATATTAGCATTGTGCCGCCTCTCTAATGGGCAAAATACTTACCAGACTGCCATGTAGGGACGGTAGAGGTGTTCATGCCATTGCCGATACCAGTGATAATACGGCCGACAATGAGATGCGGCAGGGAGAAAGCACTAGCTTGTAGCGTAGCCCCGATGACCATGATGATAGATCCGGTGAAGATTGTCTTGCGACGACCAAGGTAGTTTCCAATCCAGATGCAGAAGATTGCGCCGAAGAAACAGCCCAAATTATAAGAAGCGATAGTGATTCCTGATAAATTAGTATGGGTGAATAGGAGGTTGGCATTGTTACATACCCTGTGTAGTCGCGTTGCCACTGGTTGATGAACTCGATTTAGTGGTGTCGATATCGGGGAAGACTGTAACGAATGAGTTCAAGGTCAATAGACCTCCCATCACACCTCTGTTAAGTGTTAGCAAAAGAAGCACATTAGACTTTTCATGTATAGCTTTCGATAACATACTGGTCATATCCGAATAGCCTGTACATTTCCACATTAGCGCTGCGTACTTCAAAAGTGAATAATTGAAACCCCAACATACAAGAAATCAAGACCGGCAATAACACCGATCATGATATTCAGCCCGGTGCCCCGAAGGCCGAAGAATGGCTTCATGGTGGCGGGTGTGGTGTATCAGTAAGTTGCAGAAAGATGACAGACTATATATAGTCAAGCCCTAAAAGCAAAGGTAGTCCGACTATTCTTATTGGCCGGAGGCAAAGAGATGGACTTGACTCGGACAGACTGCAGCTAAGCAAAGAAAAGAAGATTCTACGCAACAGTCAGGTCCGGGGAAGCGCAGATTTATGAACCCCAGAATCCAACAAGGAGGGTATCCACATCCAATATCATGTTTTGGGCCGCAAATCGGAATCCAGAACAAGCAGGAGGCAAGCCAATGAAATGCAATAGTAAGGTTGCATTGGGTGAAATGGCTATACCATGGCCTGATGGAGAACGAGCCACTGTACGTCTTCCCGGGCTGAGACTTTGATCATCGGGATTCCTCCAGGTTTTCACGGGATCCACGCAAGTCGGTGTCAAAAGAGGCGCGTGCAGTCCATGCGAGGGGTCTCGCATGGCCAACTCGGTCTCTGTCCGGTATTGGTCTCCGTATTGACTCAATACGGTAATATTCGTAGCATCAAATGCAAACCCATGGAGCACTCACTACTTTTCCAATTCTGTTTCCGTCGATGAGACGGAGTGTATGACAGCTGCAAGGTTCATGGGTCATGAAATCTCAAATCTCACGTGGGTTCAAGGTACTTTTGTCCTGCGATTTGAATTGGAATGGTATTTGACCAAAACCTGGAGATTCTCCAGTTCCCCCGGACTCCCCATTTTTTTTCTCCGCTGATCTTCGGTGAGAGGGACTATTATGTACAACATCCTGTGGGCTTGACATTGGACCTTAGACCACGCATCATTACTGCTTTCCACCTTGCACTCATATGAATTTTTGTTTATATTTTCTTCACCGTTGACTTTGCCAAGCACACTTGGCAGGGATGCCATGGAAGGGGTTCAAGAACTTTCCATATAAGCCGCACCGGCATCAGGGCCCGAAAACTTGGTATAGCCGAAGTCAGACTGGATGACATCATCGATAAGTCCACTATCCAAAACAGGTAGGTAGTTTGCGTACTTACCTAGGTACCTACATATAGTACAGTCTCTGTGTATACTTTCATTCTTACAGAGTACACTATCCTTACTGTTCTTACTGTTCTTACTGTTCTTACTGTTCTTACTGTTCTGGCACAAAAATCTGCTCGGCACAGGCCGAATCACGGGGTTCCCGAGAGGACGGGATGCCCGATTCGGATATACCTATTACGTATCACACTGCAACTCTGATATTTACACGATACTACCTAATTATGCAGTCCATCACCTTAAATATCATTGAATAAATAGACTGGGAATAATAACTGTATATTCTCTAATACAATATTTCTAAGAGAAGCCCTGCCAAGATTTGCCTGTCCACGTAGATAGGGCACCGGGATCCCGGATTCGGCCAGTACATCAGCCCGGTAATGACAGCGTAAATACTAGCTCATGACAACATCCCTGACCACCTAGCCCTAGTACTATGTAGTACTACATATAGTAGCAATAACGACGATCAACCAGGATTCGAGTTTATTCCCCTTGGTTTAATGACAGAATCAGGGCATCCGGGCAGCCTTCAAGTGGTCCGTCAAGTTGTCGCAAACCGGCTTCTAAACCGTGTGCTCGGACTGGAGCCGACCTCGGGAAATTTGATCAGGTCGAACTGGTGCCGTCATCCCCTTAGTTCGGGAATACAACTGCAACCTAGCGTTCGACTTCATACGATCTTACACTAACAGTCTACAACGAGCCAAGAAGAATACACTAAATGAATGTTTCATTCGAGTTGAACTTGTCAGCCAGATGAGAATACTCCCAGATCAGAACCTCCTGCCCAGACCCTCCATCCTCAGGTCCATCAAGACCTGCGGCCGGTCAGCAATCATTGTGAACACCTGGGAGAAAACTATTTGGCTAACATCAAACACATCGCAAGATTTGGAAAAAAAAAGATAAGTAAAAAGCAGCAAGGGACCCCATATGTAACATCAGGTTTTTGTCCACCGGGAGCCACCGTGAGGCATCCCAAGAACAGTCAACGCCCAACAAGTCTTCACATGGGGTCCATCGCCAAAGGGGAGAAAGGGAAGCCAAATCGCGGTTGCTTTTAGAGCTTCCCAGTCGCCCCAGTCGGGCATCAAATTGTAGCCTTTACCACAAGTCGTCGTTATCACCATGGCGCTTGAATTCAAACGGTTCCTCGTTGGCCTCTGGGCCCAGCAGATCAGGTTCCTCGCGCGCGGGAGAGCCGGGAGAGAAAACAGGTTCGTTCTGAGGCTCTTCAACCTTGGGCGGCTGGCGGCAACGGACAACGGTGTGGCCCACTAGAGAATTCTTAGCAGACTAGCTCGAGTATTAAGAATGTGCATGTGATCAACTCACTTTCTCCGCAGTTTTTGCACTGAACCTTCGACCAATCTTTCGGCTGGTCACAGTCACGGGAGTAATGTCCGGCTAAAACAGTAGATGTCAGTTCTGTTTCGCAATACATAACGGCCAAAGAATAGAAAGTTTTCAGGATATGCATCACACTTACTCTTTTCGCAGTTTCGGCAGGTAACAGTGGAAAGGTTACGAGGCTGATCACAATCGCGGGCGATATGGTCTTCAGATCTGCATTTATGTTAGAACCAGCGACAATCCCAGGGCTCCAATGGTGATATTTTGACATACCCGCAATTGCGGCAGGAGCGAGGGCCACGATCAGCAACATTGGGGCAATCTTTAGCAAAATGGCCAGCTGAAACATAGATGTCAGCTCATCATGAAATGTACAAATCATCTTAGTCAAG